GCAGGTGGCACTCATAATGCTCTGTCTGTTACGCGCAGGTGGCACTCATAATGCTCTGTGTGTTACGCGCAGGTGGCACTCATAATGCTCTGTGTGTTACGCGCAGGTGGCACTCATAATGCTCTGTGTGTTACGCGCAGGTGGCACTTATAATGCTAGGAGCATTTGCTGAATCTGACGAGCCTGTCATACAAAAAAAGTAAGAAGGACTTAAGATTGTGAAAATGTTCTTGTATGAGGCCCAGTGTCCGGGAAATCTGCTCCAGACAGTTTCCGAAGTTGCCCTTTTTATACGTGGCTCACAGCCAGAGATTGTCTGTGCCATACGCGTTCACACCTACTAGAAATTCTTTGGTTGGTTTAGATGAGGGATGGCACTTGGGCAGAGCATGCACGAGGCAGGACACGACTCAAAAACTATTCCGTTTCTTTACAGCACATTAAAGATGGCAGATACGTAGGGCTGCACGAAATCACAACGCGATATCCTGGTGTTTATTAAATTCAGTGAGCGGAGCACATATACTACTGCTCAGGTATATCATGGAAGTTATAAGTACTGAAGTGGTGGTGAAGAAAGGAACAGCTCAGCAGCCACATCATCTTCTGCAAGAGGAGATATCATGGATAAACAAAGAAAATAGATGCTAGAGGTATGATGATACTTTTTGCAGTTTATAGTCCGACACGTTTACTAAACAAAAGGACACGCCGAATTATACAGATTACTAACCTGTGGGCGTCACAACACGCCTCTCATTAATATTTTAGGAGCACTACTGATCTGCTTGCCAAACGGTGGGTGTAAGTATAGCACCGAAAAGCCAGCATCCGGATAGATGTTTCACCCATCATCTAAAGTCCTAGTGATTACCACGCATGCGCCATTTAATCGAGATGTAATGATATGCAGCTCAATAGACAAGACTATAGACTCATCCACAATGATGACTGTGTTTTGTGTTGATATCAGTTCTACATGTATTTGGATGGATCGGCAATATCAGTGGATGAACAGAATTCGATATACAGGCTCATGTAAATGACCATTTTTCACCCTGGGATGTGCGTATTGTTCTGTTTTCACACCAGTTGCATGACAGAAACGTCATCAACTTGCCCATTCACCCGCAGTGAATGCTCTGGAAAAATGTCTGCTCCATTCGCACATAGTGGTCATCCATTTAATGTCCGGTACAACTGATTCGGACATTTGTGCTCAAACATACAGCCCCTCCGGGAAATGTATAGAAAAGTTCATGGTTGCAGTGCATGTCTGAAAGGGGCAAAAGACTGTGTAAAATACCAGATGACTTAAGAAAGGTCAAAGGTCATGCAGTTGCCTGGATACTAACAAGCAAGATGAGCAACCTGTGAGTGCAGAAGGCAGCTGGGCCCCACACCAGCAGCGCTCCATTTCACCTTGTCAGGGCTGCTGTGCCCGGCCCCATCCACATCCGATATGAGGACGTCCTGTGCTTCCTCCTTCACATCTGCCACACTTAGCTGGGGAGGTTTCTGGTCCATGCTGCAGCTGGCCACAGCCCTGCAGGGGGACGTCTGTGAGCAGAAAGGGAATGATGAACATGCATTGAATCTGTTCATTTAGCAGAATCCTGATACAGATGATGTATCTGTCCTGCAGCATCAGACACTGAGCTCTCAGTTCTGCTCTAACTGGGTTAGCAGGTTGAAGATCTGAAGCACCTGGAAACTTGTCCTGCTTAATGTGGTAGTTTGTGGCTCTGTGAGATTGTGCCTGTGATCAGAAGGTTGTTAGTTCAATTCATATCACTGTTGGGCTCTTCAGCAAAGCCACTAATGCCGAAAACTGCCCCAGGGGTGCTGGATAAAAGGCTAACAATAGCATATCAGAAAGACTGGACATGTGAAAACTGCAGAATTCCTTTATACTTGTGCAAACAGAAAATAAAGTCCCATTATCATAGCTGAATGGACTTCGTAAGAGGATGCAGTCCTGGAGGCTGGAGCTGCCTCTACTCGACATGTCCATGGCCTGAACTGAAACAACAAAACTAAAGCGGAACTTACCAGCTTGGGGATCAAGTGCAGCCAGTCGTTCCGTGGCTTTGGTGAGAAACCTACAGGTCGTGTCCACGTTGCTCTGTTAGTAAATGCTTTTCATCTCCTCTGTCTGTCGTCCTGGATACAGCTAAAAAAATCTGTTTTAAAAAAAAAAAACCCACCTGCCCACCATAACCAGTACAACTACTCTTCCTCTACTCCAGTGTCTCTCAAACCAGTCCTTAGTTACCCGCAGATGGTCCACGTTTAGCCTCCCTCCCAACTCTCAGGGAACTGGGAGAGAGCAACAAGGTGGACCATCTGGGGACCCCGAGGACGGGTTTGAGAAACACTGCTTTACTCTGTCGTCGTTGACCGCTTATCTGCGAAAATCCACGCTGCCATCTACTGGAAATACCTAATCAATTGTCTTGCACATGCGCGGTCTATGCGCAAGGTTTCCGCTAGGCATAAAAATATTTGCTACACACGCACCGAGCGCAGCCGAATTTTGATGACGAAACGTACGTCACGTCCCCGCGTCCGAAACTGAAAGCGCAGGCAGAAAAGTATGAAGTGGCCTTTAATACCCCCAAAGTCTAACAACTTTAAAACCATTAATTGAAAGTTTACCAGTTTCACTGCACTGCTATTTCTGTTTGCTGCAAAACATCTACCCTCTCTTGATCCGGTGCAATATCACTGCTGTAGGCTTGCGCCAAGCACAACCATCTGCGTCCGCGTACAAAAACGCAAGATTCCGTGCACACAACCGTCCGCGAACGGAAAGCGCACACGGGAAAATGAAGTATGAACTAGGCTTCAGCTTTTATCTCCCCGCAAATTCAATCCGCCCGCTATTAAAACATAGCCTAGGACTGCCCAAAAGTCGGCAGAGAACCTTGGTATTATCTAATATCGTCCGTCCACGATACTCACCCTACATACCCCACATTCCTTCCGGCTACTGCGCTTTCAAGCAGAACTAAACGCCATGACGTAACGACGAAGGCGTATTGTGCAATACGTTTAACGTGTTGACGCTGTGTCCGAATTCAGGGGCTACATGCTTCGAAGGATGCAGTCTACGTCCTTCGAACATTCAAGAAATGAATTTTGGCATCTCGGCAAAAGAATAACGCATTTCTGGGCTGCATCTGAAGTAACTTTAGAATTGCACAGCCTTGTCGCGCCGCTGTCACATTCGTTCTTCGAATGCAGCCTCTTACGATGCAGCACCTGAATTCGGACACAGCTTGTTCATGCCCCATTTTGTCCGTATATATTTTCTGCCGGACGGTATTGAAATTGCACGTGTTAGAAAGTCATAATTTTAATTTGTCATATCAAGTATTATTTTTAAAAAAATCAACCTGTATAATTCCATATATTTTTTATCATTACTAACTAGGCTTCTTTAAGCTTCTGCATTTTAGTATACGCATACATTTATTAAAACTGGTCGTTATTATGAATTTAAACCTAAAAATATTTGTCGGTATTGTGCAAATAACTGAGCCAGATGATATAATGGACAAAAGCTTGAATGTTCTCAAAACATCAAAGCCCTATATTTAATTGTCATTTGTATTGTTAATATTTCAAAGATATAAAAACACCTAAAATGCTCCTTCTGAAAAGAAAAATTTACATGATTCACATACAAGTGAATTAAATGATCTATTGTTTCAGATTCAAACACCGATGCATGTTCTCCCTCATGTTGCTCGGGATTTGTCCGTCTTGCTAACTGGCATCCGGTGATCGGGTGTGTGACTGGTAATGGTAAATGGACTCATGCTTTGTGCCCTACGCTGCCTAGGACCGGCTCCAGCGTCCCTCCACCTCCGACCCTGAGCAGGTTAAGCGGCAGAACGAGGAACGACATTCAAAATGAATACCATGGCTGACCACCAGAGGGCGACCGTGAATAAACATTAAGTTACCTTTACGTCAGGCAGAGGCTGTAATATAACTGTCTACCGTTTGCAGTAATGTGTAAATTTATCGATGTTTCGATAAACTGAATTATTCGTGTGCTGAAAAGAATACATTTTCCACAAACATGAAAAATTAAACGTTAAGTGTTTGGAAAGAAATAACATTAACTCACCATCTCCAAAGTGGGGAGTAAAGCGTAAAAAAGTGAGTCCACATTATACTATTCTTTCATTCGCTCGTTTGGTCATTCATTTATTAGTACTCCACCCTGTCTCCAGGTTGACAAAAGAATACTGTGGGTGCTGAGGATCAAACCCAGCGGAGTAACCCTGCTATCAGCTACCCACATCCAGCAATCCCTCACAGGGCTTGGACAGGATCAGGTCCAGAAGAAACATCAGGCAAGCTCAGGAGATGCAGGCCATCGTCTGTGACTACAGTCTACACACAATACTTCTATACAGCAAACTGTTCATTAATCACATTATGACTACTTGCCCTGAGTCAGTGCATGTCATGTTAGTTATCCTCACTGAGTGAAGCTCTTCTCACATTGGGAGCACTGGTAGGGTCTCTACCCTGTGTGAATCCGCTGGTGCTTCTTTAGGGCTCCAATGTTAGTGAAGCTCTTCTCACACTGGGAGCACTGGTAGGGCCTCTCCCCTGTGTGAATCCGCAGGTGGACCTTTAGGGTTCCTAGTTGGCTGAAGTTCTTCTTACAGTGGGAACATTGGTAGGGCCTCTCCCCGGTGTGAATCCGTTGGTGCTCCTTTAGTTTTCCTAAAACACTGAAGCTGTTCCCACACTGAGAGCACTTGAAAGGCCTCTCCCCTGTGTGTATTCGCTGGTGCTTTTTCAGGTGTGTTAAATGAATGAAGCTCTTCCCACACTGGGAGCACAGGTACGGCCTCTCCCCTGTGTGAATCCGCTGGTGGTCCTTCAGGTTTCCTACATGAATGAAGCTCTTCCCACATTGGGAGCACTGGTAGGGCCTCTCCCCTGTGTGAATCCGCTGATGCTTCTTCAGTTTTTCTAAAGCACTGAAGCTCTTCTCACATTGGGAGCAGGGGTACAGTTTCTCCCCAGTATGAGTCTGCTCATGCACCTTCAGGGCTCTTAAATACCTGAAGCTGTTCCCACACTGGGAGCACTGGTAAGGCCTCTCTCCTGTGTGAATCCGCTGGTGCTTCTTTAGGTTTCCTAAATCACTGAAGCTCTTCCCACACTGGGAGCACTGGTAGGGCCTCTCCCCTGTGTGAGTCCGCAGGTGGATCTTTAAGGTTCCTACTTGACTGAAATTCTTCTTACAGTAGGAACACTGGTAGGGCCTCTCCCCTGTGTGAATCCGTTGGTGCTCCTTCAGTTTTTCTAAAGCACTGAAGCTGTTCCCACACTCGGAGCACTTGAAAGGCCTCTCCCCCGTGTGAATCCGCTGGTGCTTCTTTAGGACTCCTGCTTGAGTGAAGCTCTTCCCACACTGGGAGCACTGGTAGGGCCTCTCCCCTGTGTGAATCAGCTGGTGATTCTTTAGGCTTCCTACATGACTGAAGCTCTTCCCACACTGAGAGCACTGGTAGGGCCTCTCCCCCGTGTGAATCCGCTGGTGGTACTTTAGGTTTCCTAACTGACCGAAGGTTTTCCCACACTGGGAGCACTGGTAGGGTCTCTGCCCTGTGTGAATTGACTGGTGCTTCTTTAAGGCTCCTACTTGACTGAAGCTCTTCCCACACTGGGAGCACAGGTATGGCCTCTCCCCTGTGTGAATCCGCTGGTGATTCTTTAGGTTTGCTACATGACTGAAACTCTTCCCACACTCAGAACACTGGTAGGGCCTCTCCCCAGTGTGATTCCGCTGGTGGATCTTTAAGGCTTCTAATCGACTGAAGCTCTTCTCACACTCTGAGCATTGGTGTGGCCTTGCCCCTGTGTGAATCCACTGGTGCTTCTTTAGGTATCGTAAACAACTGAAGCTCTTCTCACACTGGGAGCACTGGTACGGCTTTTCCCCAGTGTGAGTCCGCTCATGTTCCTTTAAAGGTCCTACATGACTGAAGTTCCTCCCACACTGGGAGCACTGGTAGGGCCCCTCCCCAATGTGAATCAGCTGGTGCTTCTTTAGGTTTCCTAAATGACTGAAGTTCTTCCCACAATGAGAGCAGCAGAGAATATTCAGTATCACACTGGGGTCAAACTTCTCGGGATGGGATTTCTTGATGTGTCTCTGGACAAAAATCTCTGACGTATAAGGCAGTATAGGACAGTAAGGACAAGGGAACTTGTTCATTCTCCTCCCTGATACGAGAGCTTGGTCTGAATAAAGAGACATGAAGAAAAGCAAACATAAGTTTGGTAATGGGAACAAAAGTGATGGATTTAGGAGAAATAATGTCCATGGCAGTGGAGTCTAATAGATCAAGAATTCAGTAACACATATTGCAGACAGCAGTAGGTATCTGTGTGATGCACCATGTGGAATTTTCTGTAAGCTGCTAGATGTTTCTATAGTCACCTGGGATTGGAGGTCTGACACTCCCAGTCAGCTTCTCCTCAGTCACGTCCTGAAACACTGTTTCTTCTTTCACCTCCCCATTAAAGACGGGACACACTGTACTCTCTGCTTTCTGAGGAAAAGAGAACAGAGTCAATAAAATTCTTCTGTAAAGAGTTCAACTGGTCTATGGGACTGAAAGCAACATGTTTCAACATCGCACAAAGAAGCAGGGCCAGATCTACCAATGTCTTTACCAGGTATCATACAGGACACATTTTTCCTGACTGATACTGAACACAAGCTGCCCTCAAGCTGCTGCTCTCTCTCCACTCCTAATCCATCTAAGCAGCTCACTGCTGAAGGTACTACAGGATAAAAGCACAGGTGACATGACAGCAGGCCTGTGAAGGTGTTTAGATACAGACTCACTGTCATAGTTACACTGCAGGAGGCAGGACACACAGAGACACTGTAAAATCCCAGATGACTTCAGAAAGGTCAAGGTTCATGCAGTTGCCTGGATACTAACAAGCAAGACGAGCAACCTGTGAGTGCAGAAGGCAGCTGGGCCCCACACCAGCAGCGCTCCATTTCGCCTCGTCAGGGCTGCTGTGCCCGGCCCCGTCCACATCCGATATGAGGACGTCCTGCGCTTCCTCCTTCACATCTGCCACACTTAGCTGGGGAGGTTTCTGGTCCATGCTGCAGCTGGCCACAGCCCTGCAGGGGGACGTCTGTGAGCAGAAAGGGAACGATGAGCCAGATTTGAACCTGTTCATTTACCAAAATCATGATACAGACGATATATCTGTCCTGCAGCATCAGACACTGAGCTCTCAGCTCTGCTCTAACTGGGGCATCAGTATGAAGATCCGAAGCACCTGGAAACTCGTTCTGCCTAATGTGGCGGTGTGTGTCTCTTTGGGATTGTATGCTGTGCCTGTGATCAGAAGGTTGTCAGTTCAAATCCCATGGCTGGTAGAGTGATCATGTCACTGTTGGGCCCTTCAGCAAGGCTGAAAATGCTCCAGGCACAGTCAATAAATGTCTAATAGCACAGCAGAGTGACTGGGTATGTTAAAATTTCAGAATTCCTTTATACTTTTGCAAATAAAGTCTCATCATCATGGCTGGATGGACTTCTGAAGAGGATGCAGTCCTGGAGGCTGGAGCTGCCTCTATTCAACATGTCCATGGCCTGACCTGAAACAACAAAACTAAAGCTGAACTTACCTGGTTGGGGTTCAAGTGCAACCAGTCGTTCCCTGGCTTTGGTGAAAAGCCCACAGGTCACGTTCACGCTGCTCTGTTAGTAAATGCTTTTCATCTCCTCTGTGTGTGGTCCTGGATACAGCTAAAACACACAAACTTGGTGTGACATACAAACCAAACTAAAAACAATCAAGTCACTGCAAGATATTATTCCACCAGTGCAGTAAACAAACCAGCATCCCTAAAACAATGACAAATTCTTTGGCTACGATAAATATGAAGGTCTATTCCCCAGTTGTAGCACCATCACCCCTCCTCCATCTAATCCCTTCTCCTCCCACACCCCAACACTAGCCCCCCTACACTCTCTCCCCACCACCCTAAAAAATCTTCATTAAAAGACCAACTTGTGTGACTTGTCTCAATGTAATCAGGTTCACCTGTGTACATGTGACTCTGGCTGTCTTCTCATGTGCCACCACTAAGTGACACTGCTTCAGTTTTGGTCTGATTTGTCTCAAAATATGACCAGTTCCATGTCTCCACCTGTGTCCAATGTGTCTGCTAAGTTCTAAAAAGACCCATCCAATACTTTCTGAGTTCTCACACTGACAGGTTAAGAGTCCATACGCCTGACCAGTGCCAAAACCATATATATTCTGATTCAGGGAATCCAACAATAACAAATCCAATTTAACAAAGGAAGCTTGAACCTAATGTTAAAAATGGCCAATGAACCTGCTCAACAGGGGCAGATCTAGGGGGTGCCACTGCTGCGCTATATTCAGTAAGGCTGTGCAGCTCAAATCTGAATGTTTAATTTTGAGAACTGGTTCTACTGTCAAAATATCAATTTAAATGGCATTTTAAATGTTTACACTATTACAGGGAGCAGGGGGGTATTCCAGAAAGCGGGTTTAGCACACTGTCTGAAATTAGTTCAGCAACCTGATGAACATCCATTCCAGAAACCGAAATTAGACTGAGCACCACCCAATCAATGTGGCAACTAATTTTCGGAACTAAACCACCTCAAGAGCAGGTTTAGCTGACAGAATCTTGGGTTTAAATGGCAGGGCTATGGCTGTGTCAGCAGAGTTCAGCAGAAGTTCTTCTCTAGTTAGACGTTTGGTCATTCCCTGGAAAATCGCGAACAATATCATTTCTCATCACAGTCCATGATTTATTCAATCATGTTCTCCTGGGATCACTAAAGTTTAATTTGATTCATAACACTTCACTTGAGGGGGCACAAAAAATGGAGCAGAACATTCTTACTCATTATATCAAGTAACCTAGTTACATATCGATCCTATCTTTGTTCATCATTAATCGATCATACCAGTTCATGTATTTCATGCTGTTACTATAATTGGTCATGATTTGTACTTGAGTAGTGAGTGAGTTACTACACCTGGACCACAGTCACACTTCAACCTGGCCCGTGGCAGGGCTAGAGCCAGAGTTAAGATCACCGAAGGCTAAAGCATGGCCCAGTTTCAGTGTCTGTGTGGGCTCAGAGTCACCCCAGAGAGACATTACTGCGGCATGTGTGGTACTGTACAATACAGCTACAATCAGGGGAAAGATCCACCATTCCGTACCACAGAACAAGCCAGAGAGACAACAACACCTCCAATGTGGGCCTCACACATGGCAGAGTTCTCAGGGACATCACTGCAAATAACCATTTTCTCATTAAGCGCTCAAAAGTACCACAACAAAGGAAATAAAGATTCACTGCAGTTTCATTCATGAGCTCTTTATTGCCTCCAAATAAAAATGACACTTTAAACTTCTTGATCATTTCACAGCAGAAGAATCATCCATCTTTGGCAACCACAAAACTCACCCTTAACCAGTACTCCAGCAGTTGAATTTCAAAATGAGTTTTCTTTTCTTTGAAAAGATTACACTTTCGTATTTCTTTCTCCAAAAGGTCTTTGAATAGTCCCTTAACAGGCAACTAGGAAGATTTTGTTTATCCTGAGTGGAGTGGCTGCGATTACTCAAACTTGATTACTCGATTTTTTAAAAGCTTCAACTAAAATCAATTGAAATTTACCTTCTCAATTACTCGACAGTATGGTGGAAAGAAGACAGAGCATAACAGATGAGGGTCCAAATAAAAATAGAGCAAAAGCCTCAGTTGTTTGTGAACACTTTACACTGAAACTAAATGAAAATGCAGTCATTGCAGAACTTAAATATCACAAGAGCATGACTGCAATGCAACATCTTAAAAGAAGACACCCAATAATATGAGGTTAGCCAGAGATAACTATAAGGTATGAGCCCTTTAGCCTCTTGGAGTAACGTAGATGATCTGTGTCATCATTTTAACTTAAATTATGATTATGGTTGGCTTGAACAGTGCATGCAGAACTAGTGCAAATACAGTGACAGTAAATTTTGCACTGATTTTTCTTAAATATTAGGTGATACTGAAAAGGAACCATCAATAAAATTGCAATTCCTGCCAAGTTTTGTTTCCTATAACATACTAAAACATTTTTATTCTAACTTACTGATGGTCTCAACCCAGCTGACTATTACAATACTTGTGATTTAACAATTGCATAATGATATTAACATTACACAAGCTGAGTGGTGAAACTAAATGATTCTTTGTCATTTGCACAAGTACAGATAGATTGGAATGCTTCTATTCACCTACCCCATCATGCAGACACACACAGGTGACAGCAAGTTTTGGAGTCACAGCGCAGGATCAGCCAGCATTTAGGAGCCCCTGGAGCTGGAGGTAAAGGGCCTAGCTCAAGGGCCCATGGACGTATGACTACGTCCTGCCAAGGCCGGGACTCAAACCAGCAACCTTCAGGTCAAAGGTACAAAAGTTTAGCCTGCTGAGCCACACATAGTGGCGCAGTGGGTAGTGCTGTTGCTGCACACCCCCCACTTTGTGTGGGAAGTTTGTATGTTCTCCACATGTCTGCATTCCGTTTTCTCACACTGTCCAAAACATGCAACTTAAGTAAACTGGAAGAGTGTAAATTGACAGTTTGTGTGTCAGTGAGAGAGACTGGGAGAAAGAAAGAGCGAGCGAGCGAGCGAGAGAGAGAGAGATAGAGAGAGAGAGAGAGAGAGCCCTGCGATGGATTGGCACCCCATCCGAGGTTGGGTCCTGCTTGGTACCAAATGATATGTCTATTATTAATATTAAAACGCACACATTTGGCTGGTGATGGCTTTTTGTTATTCCACGAAATCACGCTTTAGTTAACACTCAGACTTGAATAAACTCAGAACCCTATACAGTAATAAGCGTTTCTGGAACTGATACAATGTTTACGTCGTTTCAGGCCCATTCAAGTGATAGTTAAGGTTTAAACCCTAACTCGCTTTCTGGAATACAACCCCAGGATATGAACGCCAACCAGGCAGGGGCGCCCATAAGGGGGGAGAAAGGAAGGAAGGGGAACTTCCAGGGGCCCGGTGACACCCGCCTTTCCTCCCCTCCCCCGCTCGGCAAATTTCAGTTCAATTCTTTATTATTGTCATCGTACAAGATAGCAATGAGTCAGGAATTCCTTTAACCATGCAAACAAAGACACAGGACAAAACGTAAGATTTACATATTATGTACAAAATAGCCAATAATTATGTGCAAAATTACAAATGTGACAAACATTATGTAGTGATGCGGCGCGCGGGGGATATGCGTGAGTCCTTTAATGCCCTGTTCAGATTTTATTCCCCCTGCAAAATTAATTCGCCCGCTATCAAAATTTTCCTTAGGGTTAGGGACTAATATTAGCATCGGGATACCATCCTTGGTATTATTTGGTATCGAATCAAAAAAGAAATCAGTGGTATCGCAAGTCCAAGATACTCACCCTATACCCCTTCCTGCTACTCCACTGAAGAGCCGAGTCGTAACGACCGTGACGGTATATTGCGTAATACGTTTAACGTCATGACGCGGCACGTTAGAGGGTCCGTCCGTCGGTCGCGGTACCAAGAAGCCAGCGTACCTGGCAGCGCCTGGGTCTTGGGTGTGTGAGGCACCGTACAGTGCTAACCATGGCTCCATCGTGCTACCCTGGGTCAAACGGTGATTATTTTAATCTGTCATATTAAGCAGATCTATAAGTGAAAATCAATTGCAGTTGTATAATTCCATATATTTTTTTATGGAATTTAAAACGAATACCACGGCTGGCCACGAACGGCGTCCAGACACCAATATTAATTCACGTTTTCTCTGGGCACAAGTTAAGGAGTAAAAGTAATACGTTTCCAAAAAATTGATACTGAAGTAAAGTACAGATATTTTTAAAAATGTACTTAAGAACAATACAGAAGTAAATGTACTTTGTTACTGTCCACCCCTGGAATTGGGGTCGTGATTATCCCAACAAAAGTTTTTTTTTCACATTGGGAGCACTAAGAAGTATCATCCCTACGTGAGTCTGTGACTTTAGCGGCCGTATCGTACATGTGGCGCAAAGCACCACCAGGAATGGAGTCCCTGCAGTATGAGTCCGATGTAGATGACATTTTCCTGTACAGCACCCACGTTGTTTAAATAGCAAATGTGTTTGCCCCCATCTGAGCGTCTGCATGCGGGCGTGTCGGTCTTAAAACGAGGTTGAGTCCGGTGCATCGCTGGTGCATTTCTTTAGGAAGTGGAAAGTGAGTGTGCTATTGACCAACAAAAAGCTGGTCTGAAGTCCATTTATTTCACTGTTATTTACATGCCCACACAGGTCCGTGCACAGCGCAGGTACTGCTCACTGCTTGTTACACATGATACAGGGATGTGCACAAACAATCTAAGGATTAAACATAAAAAGATTATGAAAGATCATTATTGAAAGATATATTAAACGTAATAATAGTCATAATATTCATCAGAATTTGTTAATCAGAATAATGATGAATGGAAATTGGCTAAGCATTTGAGCAATCATGGCAATACAAATAGGTGTTTGAAGAGACGGGTCAGGCTGAGGATGTCCATTGAGACGTGGCAAACAGTGAATCAATACATCAATACTCCTGGCCAAAGACCACATATCTGTCCCTCAGCGAAGAGGATAGATGCAGCAGGCTATGCCTCTCCTGTCAGGCTGTAACAGACATTTGTGATTTCCTGGCAGATGAGCTGGAAACGAACGCTTCCTGGCCCTATACACTCCCCATTGCTGTGAACGCTTCCTGGCCCTATACACTCCCCATTGCTGTGAACGCTTCCAGGCTCTATACACTCCCCATTGCTGTGAATGCTTCCTGGCCCTATACCCTCCCCATTGCTATGAAAGCTTCCTGGCCCTATACACTCCCCATTGCTGTGAACGCTTCCTGGCCCTATACACTCCCCATTGCTGTGAACGCTTCCTGGCCCTATACACTCCCCATTGCTGTGAACGCTTCCAGGCTCTATACACTCCCCATTGCTGTGAATGCTTCCTGGCCCTATACACTCAATAAAATGCTGAACTGCGTGTGCTGATGCAAATGAAGCCAAATATGCCAGCAGCATCACAGACGGGGAGAGAGAAGCTGGCAGGAATCCTGCATCATCTGTAGCCTGGCAAGCAAACTAAATGGTTTGATTGAAAAGTGAAATCCAAATATAGCATTTATTTAGATATTATAAATCACAATGTGTGTGACAATTTTTTAAATCTCGATATAATTAAATCAAATTTGAACAACTTTTTAAAAAATATTCTGTATTAACATTTTTTTGAGATTACAATGATCAGGTTCAGCCATTAAAACCCCGCTGATTTTACCTGCTACTCCATGACTGAATAAAATGATTTTAAAGACACCAATTGCACCAAATTCATGAACAATCTTAAACTGGTCTTCTTCCTTGGCAGGCTGGGAGCACCCTGGCCAAGAGAGAGTCCAGAAGCATCTGGGGGCTTTGTATTGTATTGGATTTGGTGAATGTAGGAGTTTGGGTGGCCAAGGGAGGTGTTGCAAGAACGAGGGGATCAACTCATTCAGCCAACCTTCCCATATTGTCCACGAGGGGCCGTAGCAACATCTCAATGTGGCTCAGGTGGGAGTTTGCGCGCCGAACACACATTATTCCACCCAGTTCCCTCTCCAGCATGTTGAAGTGGGCTTGCTGCAGTACCCAGGATGGGTGCTCCTCCTTCCAGATGATGTTTCTGCACTGTGATCTGGGTCGGCTCATCTTGATCTCAATAATGATAGTTCCACCATCTCTTCTCCCTCCACAACGACCACCTGCTCCTGCCTATCAGGATCAGGATCTTCAGCTTGGGGAGCTGCATGACAATTACGGCTCAATTATTGTATGGTTGCAGTATTTTGATGTCAAATAAATGATTTTTGCTAGAAGCCTGCATGGTTTATACACATTTATTTATTGTTACCATTGCATTATGCTGGACGCCCATCTCTAGCCTCCCAAATCCCTCAATGCTTTCAGCACTGAGCGTAAAGGCAATGAAGTCCTCTGCTGACATCAGATCCTCAGTGATTGTAGGTTTTGTTTTCCCCATCTCCGGATATCATTGTACCATTTTTGGCGTTGTGCAAACATTCTGATGATGCCAGAAGATGAAGACATGCTCACTGCTACTTCCTCCCATGCCTGCATCACATCAGGGAGCTTTGGTGGAGTCCTGCAGTTACCCTAGATGGTCTGCTCACATGCTTTCACTTCATGCACAAGTAGAGCAGCTTCCCACAACCAGAAACACAGACAGAGTCATTCACCTGTGTTAGTTTGTTGGTGTGTCTTAAGATTTCTTAATTAAATAGAAGTCTTTGGACAATGGTAGCAGTGGTAAGGCGTTTCTCCTGTGTGAATCCATCGATGTTTGTTTGGATTTTCTATGAAACAAGCTCCTCCCACACCAGGAGCACTAGTATGGCTTCTCCCCAGTGTGAGTCCGCTTATGTGCCTTTAGGGATCCTGCTTTACTGAAACTCTTTCCACAGTGGGAACACTGGTAGGGCCTCTCCCTTGTATGAATCTGCTGATGAATTTTTAAGGCTCCTAAATGAATGAAACTCTTCCCACACTCGGAGCACTGGTAGGGCCTCTCCCCTGTGTGAGTCCGCAGGTGGATATTTAGGGCTCCTACCTGACTGAAGCTCTTCTCACAGTGGGAGCACTGGTAGGGCCTCTCCCCTGTGTGAATCCGCTGGTGGATACTGAGGGTTCCTACCTGACTAAAGCTTTTCTCACACTGGGAGCACTGATACGGCTTATCCCCAGTGTGAGTACGCTCATGTGCCTTTAGGGCTCCTATTTGCCTGAAGGTCATCTTACAGTGGCAGCACTGGTACGGCCTCTCCTCTGTGTGAATCCGCTGGTGCTTCTTTAGGTCTCCTAAATAACTGAAGCTCTTCCCACACTGGGAGCACTGATAGGGCCTCTCCCGTGTGTGAATCTGTTTGTGGATCTTTAGGGCTCCTACTTGATTGAAGCTCTTCTGACACTGGGAGCACTGGTAGGGCATCTCTCCAGTGTGAAATTGCTGGTGCTTCTTTAGGTTTCCTGAATGATTGAAGCTCTTCCCACACTGAGAACACTGATAAGGTCTTTCTCCTGTGTGAATTCCCTGGTGCTTCTTTAGGTGTCCTACATAACTGAAGCTCTTCCCACACTGGGAGCACTGGTAGGGCCTCTCCCCTGTGTGAATCCGCTGGTGGATATTTAGGGCTCCTACTTGACTGAAGCGTTTTTCACACTGTGAGCACTGGTATGGCTTCTCCCCAGTGTGAGTCCGCTCATGGGCCTTTAGGGACCCTACTTGACTGAAGCTCTTCCCACAGTGGGAGCACTGGTAGGGCCTCTCCCCCGTGTGAATCCGCTGGTGGATGTTTAGGGCTCCTAAATGACTGAAGCTCTTCCCACACTGGGAGCACTGGTAGGGCCTCTCCCCTGTGTGAATACGCTGGTGGATATTTAAGGCTCCTACTTTACTGAAGCTCTTCCCACACTGGGAGCACTGGTAGGGCCTCTCCCCTGTGTGAATACGCTGGTGGATATTTAGGGTTCCTACTTGACTGAAGCTTTTCTCACACTGGGAGCACTGGTATGGCTTATCCCCAGTGTGAATCCGCTCATGTGCTTTTAGGGCGCCTACTTGACTGAAGCTCTTCTTGCAGTGGGAGCACTGGTAGGGCTTTTCCCCTGTGTGAATCCGCTGGTGCTTCTTTAGGTCTCCTAAATAACTGAAGCTCTTCCCACACTCGGAGCAATGGTAGGGTTTTTCCCCTGTGTGAATCCGCTGGTGGATCTTCAGGACTCCTTCTTGACTGAAGCTCTTCTTGCAGTGGGAGCACTGGTAGGGTTTCTCACCTGTGTGAATCCGCTCATGCTTCTTTAGGTTTCCCAAATGACTGAAGCTCTTTCCACAATGAGAGCAGCAGTGACCTTTCAGTATCACACCAGGGCCAAACTCCTCAGGATGTGATTTCCTCATGTGTCTCTGTAGGTAAGTTTCTGACGTATAGCACAGTACTGGACAGTGAGAACAGGGGAACTTCTTCACTCTCCTCCCTGGTACGAGAGCTTGAACTGAATAATGAGGCACAGAGAAGAGCAAACATAAGCTTGGAATTGGGCAATGGGAACAAAAGTGATGGATTCAGGAGAAATAAAGTCCATGGCAGTGGAGTCTAATAGAGCAAGACTTCAGTAACACAGATTTTTCTATAGTCACCTGGGGTAGGAGGTCTGACACACCCTCTTCTCGTTCTCCGTCTCCCTTCAGTATCGTCCACCTGAAGAGGGACAGTCACCTTCTCCTCAGTCACGTCCTGAAACACTGTTTCTTCTATCACCTCCCCATTAAAGACAGGACACACTGTACTCTCTGCTTTCTGAGGAAAAGAGAACAGATTCAATAAAATTCTTCTGTAAAGAGTTCATAAGTTCTATGGGACTGAAAGCAACATGTTTCAGCATCACACAAAGAAGCAGGGGCAGATCTACCAATGTCTTTACCAGGTATCATACAGGACACATTTTTCCTGACTGATACTGAACACAAGCTGCTGCTCTCTCTCCACTCCTAATCCATCTAAGCAGCTCACTGCTGAAGGTACTACAGGATAAAAGCACAAGTGACATGACAGCAGGCCTGTGAAGGTGTTTAGATACAGACTCACTGTCATAGTTACACTGCTGGAGGCAGGACACACAAAGACTCTGTAAAATCCCAGATGGTCAAGGTTCATGCAGTTGCCTGGATACTAACAAGCAAGACGAGCAACCTGTGAGTGCAGAAGGCAGCTGGGCCCCACACCAGCAGCGCTCCATTTCACCTTGTCAGGGCTGCTGTGCCCGGCCCCGTCCACATCCGATATGAGGACGTCCTGCACTTCCTCCTTCACATCTGCCACACTTAGCTGGGAAGGTTTCTGATCCATGTTGCAGCTGGCCACAGCCCTGCAGGGGGACGTCTGTGCAGAAAGGGAACGATGAGCCAGATTTTAACCTGTTCATTTACCCGAGTCACACAGATGATGTATCTGTCCTGTAGCGTCAGGCTCTGAGCTCTCAGCTCTGCTCTAACTGGGTCATCAAGATGAATCTGAAGTATCTGGAAACTTGTCCTGCCTAATGTGGCAGTGTGTGACTCTGCGGGATTGGACCCTGTGCCTGGGAGCAGAAGGTTGTTAGTTCAAGTTCTGCAGCTGGCAAAGCAGTCATATCTCTATAGGGCCTCCAACAAGGCCCTAAATGCCAAAAACTGCTCCGTGGGTTGCTCAGTTACTGGCTAACCCTAACCCTAACCCTAACCCTAACCACAGAATTCCTTCATACTTATGCAAGTGGTAAATGAAGCTCCATCATCCTGGCTGGATGGACTTCTGAAGAGGATGCAGTCCTGGAGGCTGGAGCTGCCTCTACTCGACATGTCATTGACCTGACCTGAAACAACAAAACTAAAGCTGAACTTACCTGACTGTGGTTCAAGTGTGGCCAGCCTTTCCTTGGTTTAGGTGAGAAACCCTCAGGTCACGTTCACGCTACTCTGTTAGTAAATGCTTTTCATCTCCTGTGTCTGTGGTCCTTGATACAGCTAAAAAGGTAAACTTGGGTTGACATACACACCAAACTAAAAACAATCAAGTCACTGCTAGTTATTATTCCTCCAATGCACTAACTGAACCAGAATCCCCAAAACAATGACAAACTAAATTCTGTGGGAACGACAAATGTGTATGTCTATAACCCAGACAGCACCATCACCCCTCCCCCATGTAATCCCTACATCTCTCACACCCCCAACATCTACTGTCTCTAGCCCCCTACGCACTCTCCCCACCTCCCCAAAAAAATCTTTATTAAAAGCACAACTTTGTGTGATGTCTCAATGTAATCAGGTTCACCAGTATACGAGTCTCTGGCTGTCTTCTCATGTGCCATCACTAAGTGACACTTCAAATTTTGATTTGTCTAAAAAATGATCAGTTCCAGATTTTCCCCCATACAATGTGTCTGCTAAGCTCAAAAAAGATCCATCAAATACTTTCTAAGTTTTCACGATAATGGGATAAGAGTCCAAGTGGCTCATCGGTCCCAAAACCATATGTATTCCCATTGGGGAAACCAACAACAACAAATCCATAATAAAAAGGGAAGCTTTAATCTAATGTTCAAACTGGCTGCCAATGAACCAGCTCTACAGGGATGGATCTAAGGGGTCACCACTGATGCCACCCCATATCAATAAATTTGGCCGATCAATCTGCTGGCACCGAAGTCTGTGGAGTCTGCATGTTCCTCCTATGTGTGTGTGTGGAGTCTGTATGTTCCTCCTATGTGTGTGTGGAGTCTGCATGTTCCTCCTATGTATGTGTGTGGAGTCTGTATGTTCCTCCTATGTGTGTGTGTGGAGTCTGCATGTTCCTCGTGTGTGTGTGTGGAGTCTGCATGTTCCTCCTATGTATGTGTGTGGCTTTATGCCAGATCCTCTGACTGTCCAAAAACAAGCAGCCTAAGTGAATTGGATGTGCCTAAATTGACGATATGTGTGACTGACTGACTGAGTGACAGACTGTGTGTTCCCTCTGTGTCACACCCCGCTCCGATCCTAATGTGTGCCACGCCCCCTCGTTAACCTCATGTGGAATCCCAGTGTTTTACAGCTGTTTCGGATTGTTGTCATTAGTTCAGTGTATTTAGTTCACGTTTCCGTTTGTATCCCCAGTTCAGTCATTGATGTTGCTGTTTGTTGTCGTGCTTCCCCGGTCCTGCTTCCCGTAATAAATCCACGTTTGACCCTACTTCCTGCTTCCCTGCTTGCCTTCAACCTGATCGTGACACTCTGCTGAGCTATAAGTGAATTACCTACCTATTTCATGGTCAGAGACTGTTTACAGAATAGTCCTAGTAGTGTTAGCTATAGGATCCCTATTGTTTTTTCTTACTGGAACTGGTTTATTATTATTTTATTTAACTTAACACATTTGAGCTGTGCATGACCTCTCTGAGGCAATCATAATCATAATCATAATCATAATCATAATCGTTCTCATTCTGGCTGTCGGACTCACTCATAAACCGTGTGGTGCGTTTGTGTGAAATTAATCAAAAATGTGTCAAAAGGAGAAAAGCGAACAAGAACTGTTCACGAAAAGACAATCATCGCTGTATATGGAAATATTTTGTATTCTAGTGACAATATTGAGCAAAAGCAACCACGGCACCCCCAACTTATTTGACAGACTGTTGATAGATAAGTTGGTAGATATGTTATATTTGGTTATATTATTAATTCTCAACTCCTAAATATCACAAAAACACCGCAATATAAACTTTTTCCAGTATCATTCAGCCCTAACACACAATATGTTCACAAAAAATAATTAACATTAATTGGTTATATGTACCATATTGTGTAAAATGATCCTGCTAAGTGACTGGGCTAACCTTCATTTTAGCAGCGATTATTTTGACATATCAGAATTGTAGAAAGTAAATGAAGAAAAATAATTGAATAATTGAAGTCAAAGTCATAACAAGGACAGACTAGGCTACTCCAAGAGGCTAAATTGCATATACACTGCTCAAAAAAAATTAAAGGAACACTTTTTAATCAGAGTATAGCATCAAGCCAATTAAACGTCTGGGATATTTACCTGGTCACTTAAGTAGCAGAGGGGGTTGTTAATCCGTTTCAACTGCTTTGGTGTTAATGAAGCAATGAGACGACCCCCAAAACAGGAGTGGTTTAACAGGTGGAGGCCACTGACATTTTATCCTCCTCATCTTTTCTGACAGTTTTTTCACTAGTTTTGCATTTGGCTACAGTCAGTGTCACTACTGGTAGCATGAGGCGATACCTGGACCCTACAGAGGTTGCACAGGTAATTCAGCTCCTTCACGATGGTGCATCAGTACTTGCCATTGCCAGAAGGTTTGCAGTGTCTCCCAGCACAGTCTCAAAGGCATGGAGGAGCTTCCAGGAGACAGAGAGTTACTCTAGGAGGGCTGGACAGGGTCGTAGAAGGTCCTTAACCCATCAGCAGGTTCACCCTGAGCACATGTGACAGATGTGAAAGGGTCTGGAGAAGCCATGGAGAACATTATGCTGCCTGTAACATTGTTCAGCATGACCGATTTGGTGGTGGGTCAGTGATGGTCAGGGGAGGCATATCCATGGAGGGACACACAGACCTCTACAGGCTAGACAACAGCACCTTGACTGCCATTAGGTATCGAGATGAAATCCTTGGACCCATTATCAGACCCTACGCTGGTGCAGTGGGTCCTGGGTTCCTCCTGGTGTAGGACAATACCCAACCTCATGTGGCGAGAGTATGCAGGCAGTTCCTGGAGGATGAAGGGATTGATACCATTGACTGGCTCCCACCTGACCTAAATCCAATAGAACACCTCTGGGACATTATGTTTCGGTCCATCCGAAGCCACCAGGTTGCACCTCAGACTGTCCAAGAGCTCAGTGATGCCCTGGTACAGATCTGGAAGGAGATCCCCCAGGACACCACCCGGCATCTCATTAGGAGCAGCCCCAATATTGTCAGGTATGCATACAAGCAGGTGGGGGCCATACAGACTACTATGATTTTGAGTTGCTGCAATGAAATTTCGGCAAATTGGACCAGCCTGCCGCATCATTTTTCCACTTTTATTTTTGGGGTGTCTTTGAATTCAGCCCCCTGTAGGTTGATCATTTTAATGTCCATCAAACGATGTGGCCTCCTTTTGTTCCTAACACATTACCCAGTCCATATCAGTATAGAAATCCAGCATAATTTTTCCCATTGAGATCTGATGTGTTTTCAAAGTGTTCCTTTAATATTTTAAGCAGAGTATCTATGGCTAACCTCGCTTTATTGGGTGTCCTGAATGTCTTCTTTTAAAATGTTTTTGGTTTGCAGTTGTGCTGTGGTGATATTTAAGTCCTCTTTTGCAAATCTGACAGACGATTACATTTTCATTCATTTTGCTGTTCTTCGTTTTAATGTAAACCGCTTCCAAACACATGTTGCTTTCGCTCTTTATTTGAAACCTCATCCTCTATGCGCGTTTTCCTCGGCCAAATTGCCGAGTACTTGAGAAGGAAAGTTTTTATGGATGCTTTTTAATACTCGAGTAACCGTGACAGCTCTATTTTCGACCACATCGGTCTGATGAATTTTAAATAAAATTAGGGCGATATACTTTCGCGTCGACTAGTTCTGCATTTTCCCCACGCCATCTCTCCTTTGCTGCAGCGACAGTATTGTTTTTTCCTTTAAATTAAATTTGTAATCTGACGGAACGATACGGCGTCCGTTTCCATGGTGAATCCTTTTTTCAGCGATCGGCTGATAATGGCTTTTTGTTGTTCCACGAGGCCGCGCTTCAGTTAGCATTAACACTCACAACTAAATAAACTCAGACCCCTAAGTAGTAATTAGCGTTTCTGGAACCGATTGTTTTGTTTACGTCATTCTGGAGGCATTGAAGTGATAGTTAAGATTTAAACCCTAACTCGCTTTCTGGAATATAACCCCAGTATATAACCTCCAACCAGGCAGGGGCGCCCATAAGGGGGGAGGAAAGGGAATTATCAGAGGGCCGGCGGCATCCCCACTCCTCCCCACCCCCTCTCGGCAAATTTCAGTTCAATTCGTTATTGTTGTCACTGTACGTATCAGCACAACGAAACTGAATTAGCAATCCCCTGAACTGTGCAAATAAAGACACAAGACAAACCATAATATGTAAATAATACGTACAAAACAATAAAAAAATATGGGCAAAAGTACAAATGTGATAAATAATATGTAGTAGTGCGGCGCGTGGAGGATATGTGTGACAGTCCTTCATTGCCCGGGTCACGTACATATAATCCGCCAGCTATAAAAGAAAATTTAACTAGGGCCCCGAGAAGGCTTGGACCGGGATCGGAATACCGACCTTGGCATTATTTGGTATCGCCCGTCCATAATACTCAGCATACATCCCTCATATTCCTTCGATCTACTACACTGCAGAACAGCACTTG